GTAAACTGCTTGTGTTTGATTTATTGTAGAGAAGACAAATAATACAGTTTCAAGAACAGATCAAAAGGGTAGGTAGGATGTACAGTACAATGTTGAAGTGTTTTTGCAGCAAAACTTGTGCCAATACCTGCCTGTATTTGTGTTACATGTCAAAATTAAATTCAGGTTTTTCAACCTATAAATCTGGACAAAAGTCCTCAGGACAGCAATTTCAGTATTCATAAGTTTCTGTAATTTCTGGGTTCCCTCATAAAAGAGTGCATCCTTTGGAAACATTTTCTTGCAGTTCTCCCTCCCCCCACCCTATACGAAGCGGAAACTCGGAGAAAAATTCTGGATGCATTTATCCAATGTTATTTTTGGGTTAAGGGGAGGGGTTGGGTATTTTTGAATTGTAACATGCCCCAGAAATGCAAGTCTCCCAAAATTTTGTTCTTGATTGTAGGTTGATTCTCAGTTTCCTTTGTCTCTTAGCCCTAATTCATGAATACACATGTAATCAGGGCTAGGAGACAAGAGAAATGGAGAATCAATAATGTAGTATGATTGTAACTTTTTTGTTTTTTTTTATACAGTGCGCTAAACCCTACTATCCTACTACTGACCTTGGTGTCACCTACAATGTAGTAACTGTAATTTTTTTTTCTAGGAGAGAACAGAGTTAGCCAACAAACAGTTACTAGAACAGCGATCACTCAAAGAACAACTTGAGGTGAGACGCAAGTGCCTGCCACTACATATGTACTACTGTATTCTTTTATTCTTTTTACACTCTTCCAGTGACGTTCCTATGTAATCGTACTCTTTGGGGTATTTGTGAGCAAACTGAAACTGTAGTGATACAAGTACATGTATGCAGTAACTTGTCAGCATTACAGAATTTGGATTGTGTCTATAAGAATAATTAACAATTATTGGACGAGGTTGAGCAAAATATCGTGATTTGTCTGTGGCGAGCAGATCAATTATTTCCCGAAGCTGAAGGCTGAGGCAAATAATTGGTCTGCGAGACACTGACAAATCACAATATTTTGCGATAACCGAGGTCAATAATTGTTTTATCATGAATTCGATCACCGAGTTTGTTTTTTTAATTAATATCCTTGGGAAGCTAAGCGATGTGCCATTTTCACGCAAGAGTGATCACAAGAAGGAGAAAAGCACGGTTTCCTTTACACATGAGCAGAATATTATTTGCAGCCAAACACTGTTGGATGGCATTGCACATGAACAGACCATTATTTGTAGGCAGTTATTTGCAGGTCACGTGGTGGGTTCTCGGCCAATGGAAAGAGAGAAAAGTTTGCTTCGAATGATAATAGATATTATTGATAAATCTCATACAACTGTATTATAATAGGGATGTGATTGCAAATATATTACAATTTATCAAATAAGATTATGTACAATGTACATGTAATTTTTTGGCCTAAGTAGTTAATGGTTGCCATAATTATAGTCTAGTGATTTTTTTTGGAACCTGTGTTAAAGGATTTAAGAACTGAGCAACCTTTTAGCACATGTTCATGATAAGCACAGGTCACTGCTTGATATATTTTTCAATAATATATAATTTTTCTGTTAGAAGAATATTGATTTTTCTATAATTATTTTACTATTTTACATTGTTTAATTGTTAATACATTGTATTTGCTAAAAATGTGCTTGAGCAGAAATTAATTTATTTATGTAAGACAAGTTAGCTTTTAATAGTTTGTTCATTGTTTGGGTTTTTGTATTGGAGAAACATTTGACATGAAAGGGGTATTCAGATCATTAATTAAAATCTACTAGAATGTAAACTGCAGTCAATGTCTGCTCCTTTTGCCTTTATAAATAGATTAAAACTGCTATCTAAAAAAATATAATTTAGATGTTAAAACACATGCACATCAAAAAGCTGTGGATATTACTAAGTCTTGGGCTGATATAACCTGGTTCTTAGCAACAATTTAACCCATTAAAATATGCAGTTCGTAATATCAAAACAGGCCACATGTACAAGAGCTAATGTACCAAGCATCACTTAGAGATACATGTATCAAAATCCTTTTCCTGAGTAGATGCTGCATTTACTCATTTTGAAACTAGACGAGGAGCTATCAAATGTCCAGTTACATCCAGCTCTATAAGAAGTTTAATGTATGTTGTGAATTGTTCTTTCTAAACTACATTGTGCAGTCATCATGTACTGGTAACTTCCATTCTTTGTGATATCAGACGAGGTTTTATCATCATAGCTGAAGTGTAAGAAAGACTGGTTTATGCAGTTACAATTTCCAAGTCAAAGTGAAGGAAGTAATTGGGTCAATTTAAAATGGTCTGCTTTATATTCAAACAGATTCTAGAAATCGGCTGGGTTTTAAATAGGCTTAAATTTCTACCTTGGCAATACTCATAGGTGTGGGTCTTTCTGTATGGGTGACAACTTTCCTTGATAAAAGTGTGAGAATTGACCTGAAGTAATTTATATTTTTTGCTTCTCATGTTTCAGGTTTTTCATTTTTTTCACATTAGTTTTGGTGGCTGTTAACAGTGCAATTTCATCTTTGAATTTTATGTACACTGTAACATGACCTATTTCATAGTTTAATAGTAATTATACAAACATGTAGTGTCCATCCTGTATATAAATGTACATGTAGCCAGATTATTATGCAATTGTGCACCTATGATGTGCAGTGTATCAGTAGTTATAAATTGGATGCAATGGTTTCTTAAAGCAAAATGGAAAAGATACAAATACCTTGGCAGAATAAATTGAATAAAATAAAATAATTATATTCATTATAATATTTTATATATAGTATTGTAATAAATTATAACTTACAGCTGAAGTAGGTCCTAGGCAGTTTGTCTTGAAGTTGAGTTTATGACATCTACATGACTTGTACACCTGTATATATGCAGGGAAATCAGCAGATTAAAATTGCTGATAATTGATGAAACTGTTTTTGGCTGTTTTAGTCGCACTCCCTATACATGAAGTTTGTTTCATCAGTTTATGTTTATCGCATTTATTCAATTAGGCGCCCTTGCCTTTATGCTTTGAATACTGCCAAAAAATCATCATTCATCATCATCATCATCATCATTATCAATCCTCATTATCTTTGACATCCTTTTCGTTATTACATGTCTGTGAATATACGGTCAACTCATTTGATGTAGGTGTATTTGACTCACCATAATCTTCTCTATTCTGTAGGTTCATATCCAAACCATTGGGATTTTAGTTGGAGAGAAACAAGAACTACAAAGCACTGTCTCTCAGCTGCAGAGGAAGTATGAAATTAAGCAAAGTGAGTTCAACTAACTTCATGTGGTTATGCTCTGTTTTTCTGCTGTTAATACTACTATAACTTAGATTTGTTTCATTTATAAACAGTGGACTACTTTGGACTTTGACATGATACTATTGTACAGCAACTGTAAAATTATAATAGTTATTATGAGAACATTATTATTTTTGAATGAGTTAGAAAGTGATTTTACAATAATTATTTTTCAAACAAGTCATGTTTCAACCTCAGAAGTAGTTGCTTTGCTTATGCACTCTGACTGACTCCAAGAGCTACACTAAATGATTAAACATTTTTTCGTAGGTGAAAACACAGAACTGACAAGTAGATTACAAACTGTCAGACAAAAAGCAGTGGAACTCGAGAAAAACCTGGCAAATGTAACAGCCAGCTGTGATAAATACCAAGAGGTAAATGCATGCGTATCTTTAAACACTGTGGAAGACTCATTACCCCACCACTAAAGTGAGCTGACACACTGCATTTATAGTCACATAAAATAGTGTGTGTACTGTTAAAAATAGCCTTGCCCTTTTACATGAAAAAAGATGTTGTTTTTAATATAAGCTCTATGTGATTAATCTGTCTATTAGGATGCAAAGCGGTTTAGGCAAGAGAGAGACAAATACCAAACAGCAAATTACACCCAGAAGTAAGTTATACAGGGACACTTATTACTGTTGAAGAGCTGCATGGAAAAAAGGCTTTTTGTCTTTTATGTCCCAAGAGGGACCAACATCAATTTTCTCATCACACTTTAAATAGGTTAAGAGGAAGGTTATGAGAATTAGCAAAATGATTATCCAAGGGAAAATGCTGTGATCTTTAAATAAATTCTGATCTCTACTAATGAAGGGATTCAGATCAATCAGTCTGGAGAAATAATAATTTGATATTGAGGCCTAAAGGGTTAAAGTGATTCTTAGAAAACATTTTGAGTGTCTTATTCTCTCTTTTCTTGACAATTTAGAAATAAAATCTAGCAGTTTATGACACAGGGTGCAGGAGAGTTATTTGTGACCTTGATTGCAGTTAAATTTTACAGTTGATAGAGCAATGAGCCTTTGTTTATTTTAGAATCGAATATGAACTTGACCTATCAAACTGTCCTGCTACGGTGTTGCAAACCGGGTAAAATATCCAATGTTTGGTGGGAATGAACTTTGTCCAAAGGGTGATGATTTTACCTTCGCTCCTGTTATTCATCCACAGTCATTACCTTCAGCGGTAGTGGATGATATTTTACCAGACGATTGAATGCCGTTTCGTTTAATTCAACAGTATAATTTTTAAACAAAGGCGATGTATGGTATCAACTGTAGAATTTATCTACAATCAACAATCAAGGTCACAAATAACTCCTCTGTGCCTTGTGTTTATGGGTGGAAGTCATTTGACGCCATTTTTATGTACGCCCTCAATTACAAATCTTCAAATGCACAAGTTTACGCCCAGACTGCCAATACAGATGAACTTGAGGGCACGTGTGGACACAACACCAGCTACTTTCATGTAAGAAGCTCCCAGTTGCAACATGTATGCTGTAACTCAGTTAAATTGCAGTTCTGAAAAGTTGTTGTTCTAAGACTCTGAACCCAACAGACAGTATTATCATTCTTTACAGTCATGGATAGTCAGCAGACTTGTTACATGTATTTTATATTTCGTTGGCTTGATTGCAGAATTGTTGTTTCAAGCTCTTGAACTAATACTATCCTTTTGATTGTTCTTATTTTCAGCCAAGAAAAAGAAGAACTCTTGCAGCAAAATGCTGAACTTAAAGTAAAGTTGGAATCCAAGGTATGTGTTGTCATTGTAAAGACTAACTTCATGTTTGTTTTCTCTTTCTTTATTATAATTTTCTGGATCACCCTGAGACCTGTATTAAAATTTACTGCTTTAACTTAATGAATTGCCTCCACCCCACAACACCGCCCCCGCCCCACCTCCTCCCAAGCAAAAATTTAAAAATTGCAGAATTCACAGAGAGCTCTTTAGTAATTGGAATGGGGAGAGGGGGGAGGGTGGGGGAAAGGGGGCTGGAACAAGGTAGTAATTTCTGGGAACTTTTTTTGAGACTATGGTCTGAAAAAGATGGCTGAGTAGCTTACCATTCATACAACAGCTGTGACTGATTGTAAGCTTAGGCCTTGTTAGCCTGAAGTTCATATGCTCGGGGCTCGAAAAAGGCCCATCCCATAGACATCCAGCTCAAGTATATTTTCTTGCTGGGCAAATCTTTAAATGCTTACTTGGTCCAGGCAAGTCATTCTCTAACAAAAATAATCATCACTAAAGGACAAGCAAAAAGTGGCCCTAGACAAACAAATTGTGAGAGCTGCTTGCCCAAGGGACATTAGCTTGAATTTAGAGCCCTGATCCTCCTTTTTCTTTTGACACTGACCATGATTTTTCAGCTTGCGGAGTGTGAAGAGTTGGCTAAAAATGAATCAGAATTGACATTTAAACTTAAAAAGGCAGAACTTGTAGTACAACAGGTTTGTGAGTTCTTTGTATTTTAGTATTTTTGCATCTTTATAGTAACAAAAAATGTCTTGATTTCATTTTTATGCAGCTTGGCAATTATTACTCTGTGTACCTATGCAGTTTGTCGCTGCTGGTCGGGGCTTTAGCCTCTGGCCAACCATAAAACATCCCCTGTGAGTTCTAAAAGACCTCTGGTACCCAGTGTACTTGTAACTAACAGCAGCTCATTAGTAGCTTAATGTGTCTCTTACTAGTAATTGTGTTCAAGGGACAATATTATATATGATGCAAATTGCTTAATGAGGTTTCTTTTTTCGTGATATTTCGGTAGCTTTCAGGTGAGCCAGACACCTCTGCCAGTCACAATTTCGTTCAACACCTACAAAATGAGAAAGAGGAACTTGAAATTAAATTAGAACAGGTAAAATTGTAGGTTTTTGAGTCAACTTAACTAGTAGCTGTATTATGATTCCATTTTCCCTACACAGTGTACAGAAAGATGGCCAACATGCCACAGAAAAAATTGATCACATTAGCGTAGTAATGTCTAGTTTGAGTTTCACGTGGTCGACTGATTTTCTTCGATATTTGTGTGTTATTTGGCAGCCATTGGGCTGAAACCTATGTGGTGAACGTAGCTAGTTTTTTTTTTTAAAGTGGCTTTAGTGTATTTCCTTGTTCTTTTATCTATATAGTTTGTATTGTGTGTTATTTATTTACTTAATTCGTTGTCACTATTTTACCTGTCACCACTGTCTTAAAAGTATCATTTTACAGCTAGGCGCTCGCACGAAAACATTTGTTAATTTAGCTCCTAGACATCCTCGCTATCATAATGTATCATTTTATGTAACAATTTATTCTTTTCTTCCCATAATCCATCGAAGATGTAAAATTCCCTAGCTGGATAATATAATAATAAAAAAGGTTGTTTGTCACTGTTTATCACTGTTACATTATCACAGCATCATGCTCTGATCAGAAAGACAACAAACGAATGGATCCTGTTAGGATATTAACGTTTACATTAGCACATCATCATAATATGTTCATAATTACTATCATCGTCGTCGTCATCATCATCATCATCATCATCATCATCTGTACTTTGTGAAACATAAATTAATTTTCCTGCATTTGTAACATTTCCTTTGCTGCAAAATTTCAATAGAAAGAAATTGCAATAATCTCCTGCGCATTCTTGTTCAAGAATCCAACCAATACCATGGACACTTAGTTACAGTAGATTTATTTTGGGTCGGGTTTCAGATCAATAGCACAGTACAGAGACTTGCATCTGACAAAGGAGAGCTTTTGCAGCAGCATGCAGATGAAGTAGACCAGTATGAGAGAAGAATAAGATCTCTAACAGAGGAGGTTAGTTTGCTTTAGAGCATTCTTAGATCATTCGGATAGGGTCGCATTTTCAATAGAGTTACTAGAGTGGGGTCGCACTTTTTCTGATTTTTGGGGTAAGACAGTTCTTCATATTTACGGTTAGCAAACGTACTAGAATTTTTCTACTGTAGGTGGAAAGTAAAGTGTTCTTCATTCAATTTAAAAAGTGGGTCAATTTATTTTAGGATGACCTGTTTAAAGGATTGACAATGTATATTCATAAATAGAAAGTGACCAAGTTGGGATCGCGAAAATTACATGTTTGCCTAAATGTGACTAAGATGGGGTCTGTAATTGGCCACAGATTAGACTATAATGGGGTAGGGGCTCTGAGTGGCCAGCGGCACATACCCAGCAAAAATTAACCCAAGTAACCCCCTCCCACGCCCCCGGAGATCATTCTACAACTGGGTGGAAATAGAATACTGACATTTGTTTTTCTTATAATATGGCCCGCGACCAGGTAGCAGGGTTTGTAGCGTTCATCCTGGTAATAATAATAATAAAGGTGCTGGGTGGAAATCTTGTGTTTAAAAATAAAACTATGAAATGTGACGTAGTGGGAGAACGGCCCGCCACAAAATACGTCCAAATCAGCTGAACAGACTAAAAAGAGTGGAGAATTGCATCGCCCTAAATCACAGCCCAATTTTTCCGAAGCTTCCCAAACGGTGTGGCGCTTAACATTTGATTTTCCACCCGAGATTTCCGTTTTTCCTTCTATGCTCTTATTAGGTTTGCGAAGAAATGTACCAAAAAGCGTTCTGCACGTGCAAAGGTGTTCTATTGCTTTCATGCCGTTCTTGTTGCCGTCACGGTCGTCGTTGCTAAAGCTCCCTTTTATTGTTATCCAGAAATTTTGCCACCACGGTAACGTGACGTTACACTTCTCCCCTCTGAAAGCAAAGCATGTAGGCACGTGACATGTGGTGCTTTCTTTATTAAAACGCAGTGGAATTTTTTTGACCCGTCAGACCACTTGCAGTATAGTTGGGAACCATAAATTTTTGCAATAATTATAATTTTCGAAAAACGAAAGATTACTTCTGTTTTCTTGAAGATGGAGATGCATGACAGAGAAAAAAGACTATTAATTGCAAGAGAGAGCGAACTTCAGGAAAGCATGCAGAGTTTACAAAAGCAACTGGGTATGTACCCTGTGGTAAAGTAAAAGAAAAAAACACACCTGCATTTTTCCATCGGCCCCGCCTCTCCCCCAAGCAATGTTGTGCCGCTGTACGACTACCTTTAAGTGACAACAAAGGCCCCAACTTTGAGGGGAGGAGTGTGGATTGTTTTGTTTCCAGATTACCCCATTTAAGGACGGTGTCTGAATAATTTTGTAGCCGATTGTAGATAAAACTTCAACTCGTTGATATCTGTAGATTTAATTTAGATGTATCATGCGTAGGATACCTTTAAGTAGTTATTGCTAGCACAGGAAATGATGTTGTTTGCTTCTGTTTTGATGTCATTAATAGCTGCTCTACGAGATAGTGAAGCGACTCAGCAAGTGGAGTCAATTCAACTTGCTGCTGCTGAAATTGAAAAGTTGGCGGAAGACAAACAGAGATTGGCTGAGCACTTACAAGAAGAGGTAAAGCTTCTATGTCTACATAAAGATAGTAATCTTACCTAATATACAGTAAAAAAAAACCCTGTATTTGAGGGTCAATGTACAGGTATTTAGCACAGAATTAGACTCTACTAATTGAGGACACTCTCTTTACGTCTCCAGTCCAACTGGAAACGGGATCTCCATTTTACGTGGTCATCGTAGCCGTTTGCAGGGCAAAGGTGGTAACTTCATTTCTCAGTTTCTTTAAGACCTTGAGTATTGGTCCGTCCCCGGGAACCGAACCCACGACCTCCCGCTCTGCAGTCAAGCGCTCTACCCACTGAGATATTGCTCTGGCGGTTAATCTCGAAGGGCAACAAACAACAACAAAAAATCTGTACTCTGGTACTATACCACTTTGTTTTCATCAAAAGTTCCAGTGGTTCTGTCAATCTCACCAATAAACGAATACGATTAGGAAGAACGTTTTGTAGTTGTCAAGTGTAACATATTAACAGTTATTCTTTCTTACAGGGCAGAGAAAATAGCAGGCTTTTAAGGTAAGTCTTACTTACCGTAAGACATAAATTTTTTTCATTAAAACTTTTATGTTGTTTTTCTAGCATAGTGTACTACCAAGAAGTCTCCTTCATGATCACTGCGCGAAACATTTATCACCATACTCAAAATACGAGTTTCCTCCCTCTTTGTCCTCTTATCTTATACGAATGTGGTGGGGAGAAGATAATTGGTCGCATTTTTAACTTGCACAAGTATGGTCTCTCAGTCGGATTTTTTTGTTTTGTTACATAGGTTCTACTGTACGTTTTTTTCAGTTGTTCAACTTAAATTGATGGTTCATTCTTGTGTTTCTTCTTAGGGAACAAGAGCGGTATTTGCTTAGAATACAAGAGTTAGAGATAGCCGTGGCTCGACTGGGAGAAGAGTCTATTGATAAAGCCACGCTCTTGGAAACTGCTCAGAGCGATAAGGAGACCATCAGCAGGTCAGCATTGAAATTACTTGGACCTTTACACTTTTTACGTTTTTACCGCCAAAAGTGGCCAAAGTCAAAATTGGACAAAATTTCCAAATTTTAATTCATCCAATGTAAGGGAATTCAAGACCGTCTTGGATTCTGTATTCCACGCCGTGGATTCCGGATTCCAGTGTTTCTCATTGAGCGTCAACGGAACTTGGATTCTGGATTCTAGTCGTTAGTGGGTTTCCAGATTTTTCAGCTGTATTTCGTATTTCTAAGCCTAGGATTCCGGATTCCACAAGCAAAAATTTCCCAGATTCCGGAATCCGTATTCCCTTACATTGGGCGCCTTGTCCTGATTTCCAGAGCGTCTCCTCTTACTGTTTCTCTGTGTTTTTTGTTTTGTTTTTGTTTGTTTGTTTTTTTGCAGGGCTTTAAAACAGAACAAGGATTTGAAGGAAAAAACAGAGGAACTTGAAAAGGGATTTATAACAATGGTACGTTTGCAGTTATTACATTCAAAAGTTTGTTTGGGCAACAATTCTCCTTGCAACATGTGTCGCACCAATATTGTGTTTTAAGATAGTTCGTAACATGTTTTACCTACAACTACGAGGGGGTACAAATTTTCATGTTACTGTTGACATGAGTGGGGTGATACAACAAACCGCATTTTAGACTTTTTGTGTAGTATTGTTGTGTGAGAACGTGCATGGAAAATGAGGCCCACATTTCTCGGCTAAACGTCGCTTAAAAAGTGAAGTCACAGTTTTCCTTCTTCATTTTGATTATTCCAACTCACTTACTTTGTCAAATATGGGCGAACTCTCCTGGAGTTAAATTCCAAAGAGCCATGTCAAGCTTCAGGAAGAGGAAAATTTGGCCGTCGCTTGTTTACAAACTCATCTTCATAAAACGTGAAACTAGGCATTTTCACGTGGTGGCCATGCAGTGACGGCAAGGAAACGTACAAAAAAAGTGTGATGCACGTGCAGAGTTGTTTTTTTTTTTGGCTAATTAAAACATATTGCTATTTTGACGCTCTCGTTGTTTTTGCCCTCGTCGGATCTTAAAGGTGATGTTACACGAGTACGATTCGCAACGACGATTTTTAGCACAACAGAGCGTTGCAACATTGTTGCGACATTGTTTTGAATACTTGCAACATTGTTCCAACATTGCAACGCTGTGTTGCGCTAAAAATCGACTTTCGAATCGTCCCGTGTAACATCACCTTGACGTCCCTAATTAAGGGGCGTCATTTTTGTCCGGATTTAGATTTTCCCAAAGAAATGCACTTTATGTTTGTTACCTTGAATACAGTCCTTTGAAATTGAACTCCAGAATAATAATTTAAAAAAGCTCTGAAGTTTGTCAGTTGACCGGACTGGGTTGTGTACAAGGGCAGGCAAGGAGTTAAACTCGGGACTACGATTAACGAAGGAACAAAAAGTCCGACCGGACCATGGTCGGACCAGACATTTTGGCAATGAAAGAGGCTTTTTCCAAGAGGAAAAACCAGCTTATTTGTGCTTAATATTTAGGATTTGACCGATCTGGATGGTTAGTTTGATTAAAAGTGAAATTCTCATTATGATGGGAATGGGCTCGCCGGTCAGTTCTGACAAATGGAAAGCACCCTTAGTGTACACCTCTGAGTAGTCTGTTTTTAAGCTGTCTGTAGGTCACCAAATGAATGCCACCATTTTCACACATTCATTGTAGTGTTACTTGGTTACTGACAATGGAACCTCGATATAACGAAGGGCCAAGGGACTGGCAAAATGTGTTCGCTATAAAGTCGTTTCGTTATATCGAGGTTCATTTCCATATGTTTTACTATTACTGGGAAGAGGAATATGGTTCGTTATATCCGAGGACTTCGTTAAATAGAAGTTCGTCAAAGCGAAGTTCCACTGTACAATTAAATTACAATTTTTGCTCGAAAAAAATGTTGTGTTACTAAGTAGAAACTGAAAAAAAATACGGTGTAATTTTCCTTTTTTATTCTTCCACGACAGAGCCAAGAAAACATGGAACTTACCAGCAGTTTGGAAACAGAGCGGCACATGGCTAAGGAACTAGCTTTCAAACTCAGTAATATGGGAGTTGAACTTGAAGAGTCCAAACAAAATGTGAGCAACTTTAATTTAGACAACAGCCTCTTATCTGTTAAGTCTCTAAAGGGCTTTTTCGGAAACCAAGGGACAGCTTACGGGAACAGGATTTATTTGAACGAGCTCGTAGCAAAGTTTATGATAAGAACGCAAGACTTCCTGGATACTTGATTTTCCCGAGTTAAGTCCAGAAGCGAGTCGATTCCTTTTTTCAGATTTGCAAGAAAACTCTCTGAGTGTATTGATAAGTTGAATAAAAGTTTTAAGATAAAGCGAATTTCATTTTGTCAAACATTGGAAAACAAAATTCAGTTCCTCTAACAACTCATAATGGAATTTGTTACAAATTGAGTTTGCTCATAAAAATGTTTTCAAACCTATCGCTCTCTTTATTTCTGTTGAATAAAATTCAGTTTTGAATGAATTACTCAGTAACTTTAAGTGCTGCTAGTTAATCTTCATAACTGATTTATTGCTGAAAGTGGTGCACTTTTCGTACCAGATGCTTATAATCTTAAAGCTGTAGACTTTTGTTTCGTACCTAACCCCAAAACACCTTGTTTTGGTTCAGCTTTCTTCAAGGAATGCTGAGATTCAGTCACTGAGAGAAGAACTAGAGACAGCTTCACAAAGCCTTACAGAACAGGTAAGATCTTTGATCTATCAGTGAGCTTAAGCAACGACGGCGACGACAATGAGAAAGTCAAAGGGCGAGGCTGTTGACTCTTGCCTTCTGATAAGCTGTCCCTCCTTGGATGGTAACTCTTGGCTTGCATGGGTGAATTTCGGAGAACTTAACGCGGGCACGTGAAGTTAACAGGCTTTTTCTTGCGAGTTTTGCTGGAAGAATCTTGAACCTTCGGTTTGCAGTCGTTGTTTTGGAGATAACTTGAGGATCCTTACTGAAATTCCCTGGCAAAAACCTTATAGTCTAATAAGCGAAGCAATTGCTTAACGATATTTAGAAGTTGACACATGAGGTGTATTTGCTGTAGACTACAGTTTGTTTTTGTGTTGCTTTTTACCTTTTTGATGTCTTGTATAACCTTATTTCTGAGTTCTTTGCGCTATATTTTCTCAGGTTACCAAAGGTGAGAGTATGATCTCATCACTACAGGATAAACTGGACGTGTCCTCACAACAACTTCGTGACCAGGTAACTCGTCTTAAAAAGTAACATAGCTTTTTGCAGTGCCCTACTTATAGCTATGATGAACATTTTACGAAAATAGAAAAGTGATTTCGGATTTATACGCTATCCTAAGCTGTGTGGCTTGCCGGTCTCAATTGTCTTGCAGTGCTGTAGTTTTTTTCTTTTTAAGGTCCGGTCACAGGCTGAAATGATATCAGTAATATTAATAAGTAATATTCGAGCTTGATTTAAGTCTAAATCGCTGTGTGATTCCAGCACAAATCATTTGAGATGGTACCTAAAGCTTTCATTTCTTGATAAATTCTTGCGATCTGTTACTCTGCTTTCGACATAGCGCAAATGTCGCATAGGTTGACTTCGTACCATGGTGGTAGCCGTCGTCAGTCTTTTACGACGAGTTTTAGCAAGAATGTCGTAGGGGCGACAACAAGTTATCAAATGTTAATAAATTTTACCATTTAGCGATCGGAAGAGGGTTTTACTTCCTTCAACGGAAATAAGCGTGCTAACTTTTGTGGTGATAAAAAGTACCATGAAACTTTCCGGGGTGTCTATTTTTAGAGAATAGACGAGAAAATTGAAAGTTAAATGTCGTCCTGGTCCTCGAATCTAAATTGCCATCTTAGTCTGAACCCACAGTGATGAAGAAATGCTTCTTATGTGTGTACTTTGGTATTTGCAGTTGACACAAAAAGATTTCGAAATAGCTGCCGTTCGCGAGGAAGCAGACATGTCCTCACAGCATCTTAGGGCACAGGTAAAGGTTTGTCCCAGTGTCAATAAGTTCTGAATTTAATTATTTTCCTCATTATTTCTCTGTTACGATCTGTTACTCTCTTTCTGGTTTTCCTCCATGTGGTGGGGTTGTTGTGTTTAGTAACATTGTGCTCTAACCGAAAACATGTTTCTGTAATAAAAATTGCAGCTGTTTCCTAGTGGGTGCTGTGAAACCAAAATTAAGCTACACTGTATTGACTTACCAAATACAGCAGTTCCAGCGAATCTGTACAATCAGATCTCGAAGCAGACTCACGTACAGCGAAGCGTGGTAAAACGCGTGTAAGTCACGACTGTAAGTCACGTGGAAAAACGCGTGTAAGTCAAGACAGGCTTTGCCTTCGGTTTTCATTGGCCGAAAAAGTGGCACGAGACTTTTGAACCAATCAAAAGACGTATTAGTGGAATCATAGACTATTGCGGCCCTTACATAGATGAAATAAAAGTTAAACGATTTGCAAACTGTTATGTGTCATAGAGAGTCTTCATTCCTTTCTTTTTCTGTTTTTTTTTTTTTTAGTTGGCCTCCCTAAAGAATGAGCTCAGCCAATCAGAGGCGAGATTGACTGAACAGGTAGGCACCAAAACTGCTCTCGTTTATCGCTGGCTGAACGAACATATAAGAGTTATCGTGCTGTGTGACGACGATTAAAATTGAAGCCACTGAGAAGCGCCTTCGTAATGTTCGGTATTGGTGAAGTACACTTAAAGATGAACTGTCCCTTAGTGATATTGTAAAAGCCGCCCCGAAAAAAAGCAAAAATGGTCATAAATCTTATAAATTTTACTTTAACTGTGGAAAAGGCTGTTTACAGTACTGTACTATGTTTACTTTTAGTTTCTTTTGAATGAAGATGACCACGAGCACAAGAATGTAGCCGAATTGACAAACAGGTTACAGCAAGAGTTACAGTTAGCTCATGTGAGTCAAGGCTAGATTTATTGTCTTGTTTATCTTGTTGGAGGACTCCTTATTTCTTTTATACCTTTTGGTTTGTTGAAATATTTTGGCCGCGGTAGATTTAGTCAGTCGATAGGGCTGCAAAGGTGGCTCTTGTGTACAGAGCGGGAGGTCGTGGGTTGGAACACCCAGACCGGACCAATAGTCCGGGCAGAGAAATGAAAACGTTACTTTATCGTGCTAACGGCTTGACCTTCTCGTGGCTTGGGTGGTAGCTAGGAGACGTAAAAACAGTGTCCTCAATTGGTACTTTCGTTCCGAGTGGGTTGACGATCTTTGGGGGGCGAGGATTGTGGTATGATGTTTGTCACGCCGATAACATACGATGAAAATACAATTTCGTTATGAACGTTGAGACAACGTTGATCTTCATTATTAATGTAACTCGGACCGATGATGATCTATCCTATCGACGATCTTCCTGGTTCTTGCCGTCATTGTTTTTTGTCTTTGTATTTGTTTATTTATTATTTGTTACTTTCTTGACTTTTTAGGACACAATCACCCATTTAAAAGCACAGAACACTGAGTTGCAGGAAATTTTAGCTACCTCCGAGAACCCGGACAGCATGGAGCCTTCCGGAACTGAGAGTAGGTTCTCAATTAACACTTTCCTTTGTTGTTATCATATGATATTGGCCCATTTGTATTTACAAACGCAGAGAACGTATATATCAAGACGCAACAAAACAAACAAACAAACAAACAAACAGACTTCAAGGTCTCGTGGGAATTTTCTTGTTAGGTTGTTTTCCACCTTTTCTTTTACGTAATCAATGACTGTTCATACAGAAGGACCCTATGATATACTTCTACCCGGGCCCTTTTCTCTGTACAAGAACAGATTACTTAAACCAAGAAACCAAACAAAACAGCAACAAAAACAAATGAACAATGAGATCTCGTTGGGTATTGTCTCTTATACCTTTTCTTTTACGTTATTGGTACCTGCACACACAGTAGGACCCTATACTATGCTTGTAACCTTGGAGACTGTACATGAAATCCCGATGTGGGTTAATTTTTCGCCAGCACTTGTGTCATATTGTGCCGTATAATCTACTGTGTTTTACAAGGCGGTGCTAACGTGTGGAACAGTGTATCATTTTCCAACTATTCAATGTTTAGAGTGATTTTAACACTCAACTATGGGCCCCTACAGCTCCCCCCACCCCACTTCCTTCTTCCGGAAGATCAGCAGTCTAGACAGAATAGGGTTACACGAGTCACTTTCTACAAAACTGGTAAGGTACGGTAATGTGAACTTTGTAGAATTGCCTTGGCAAAGTTAACATGTGGGTGTATGCTCCTTGTTATGACGATTGCCAATTTAGCTTTCTCTCTCACCGCCTTGATGCCAAGGTGTAGGGAGCCTACAAATTTGACATTTTAGACTGCTTGCAGTCCGCCTTTTCTCTTAAAATTCGGCAGAGTTCTCATCTCAGCCAGGGCGTTTGCAAACAAGGCCTTTACAAAAAGGGATTGGGACAAGACGAAAAAAGACAGACTGCGAACTCTGCTTTGCCACGGAGTGCCCCTCTTTATTTTGAGCCTGTCTTTAAGCTTTGGCCTTTCCACAGGTTCAGACGAAGACGAAATCTCCAAATCAGTCCATAGAGGCTCGGGTGTGACGCACCAGCACAATGGCACCACAGACAGCGAAAATGGCGACATTCAAATCAAGAGGATCCCACCTGACGTCATACCACTGCAGTCTACAGAGCACATGATGGAGGAGGCGCCACCATATATGAACGGAGATTTCAGCGAGAGAGAAAGCCAAGTGGAGACCGATTCCAGTGAGGAAATGAACATGGCACCTCACAGAACATTACATTCTTCACCTCCTCCTTCTAAATACACTGACCGGGAGGATATGGTACGTGGTTACTTTATGTGGCATTATTTTTTATTTCCATAGTCTAATTAGCTTTTTAACGTAAATTGATAAGAAGCAAGTTGCACGGGTCTACTGCTAGTAGTCTCTGTTGGATGGTTAGATGGGTGTGTGGAGAGCTCAATGGGTGAACTGAGAGATAGGTGAGTTAATAAATCGACCACAATTTTCCATGGTCTACCCTCTTACTAGCCTGCGAACAGCAGACGCATTTCCGGTCGTCGCTTCTCTCCCTCCGAAAAATAGCTATTTTTCGGAGGGAGAGAAGCGACGACCGGAAATGCGTCTGCGGTTCGCAGGCTACCCTCTTACAGACCATAAAAAACTTAAGTGGTTTCTCTGCGTCATTTCTATGGTCTATAAGAGTGTAGACCATGGAAAATTGTGGTCGATTTGTTTTTTACAATAACATTTATTTTTTTATGAAAAACCAAAAAGAAAACAACCGACACTGCGTGACATGTTACCTCATTTCCATTGTCTATACTCTCATAGACCATAGCTCTCGACCAATCAGCGCGCGAGGGTTCGCTCAGTTATTGTAAAACAGGTGATGGTGATAGTGATGATGATGAAGATGAATAGGAAAAAGACGAAGAAGAATATGATGATTATGATGATGATGATGATGTGCACTTGGTACAGCGGGCTCAATTATGACCATCGATTTATCAATAAACGGATGTTCGCATTCGGCAAATCAGTTTGATAATAAAGAACAAGATTTACTAGTCCAGAAGTTCGCACGTCGGTGACTTTAAAGGCTTGGCGCAATTCAGGCAGAGCCTCCTTTCCCCTTCTCACTCAAGACTAAGTCAAAAGGAGACTCTGCTAGCGGGATGTAGCCTCTGTACAGAACCCCCTTCCCTCCCCTCAGGAAAAATCTATTTTTTTTTCCTGAGGGAATGGGGGTGGGGGGGTCTGTATACAGGCTAGCAGGATGCCTTTGCATGCATTTGAAAAATGAAACTTTGTGCTGTTGCTTTTGTAGGTGGATTCACTGTCAGCTTCCATCCGTCAGTTGGAGATGGAGCGAGACCAGTTGGCTGATATTTTACACAGAACTCAGGATCAGCAAGAGGATGATATTCTAAGACTGCAACAACACATGGAGTTACAACTCAAACAACAACTGCAGCAGCAATACAGACAAGTATGTCAGCAAGAAGAAAAGGGAAAAGCAACAAACAAAACAAGAGTTCAATGATCTCTCGTACCATCAATTTTCCGTACATTTTTACTCTTCAGAAAATATATGAAAGGGTTAAGAAATCGGTCATGTCGGTCTGAAAAAGTTATGAAAACGTTTTGGGTTTGTGATTTATTCATGTTTTAAAGACAGCGCTTTTACGTGCAAAGTTCTAAACTAGGTATGTGAAAGCGGTACCATTTGTATATTGAAGGTATGCAAAAGGGGAACCTTTTTTGTCAAAAACGGTATATAAAAGGGCAAATGGTTGGACCTCGGGGCGGAGCCTCCCCTTAGAAAAATTTGTTGAGTAGAATGCAAGTAATGAAATTAGTCTTTGAAAGGTACCCCAACAATCCACTTCCTATAATCTTTCCAGATTCAAGAGCAGTTCCAACAACAGCTTCATGAGCAACAGCAGAAGATTCATCTGCTTCAAGCCTTGGTAGAGAAACAGAAGGAGCAGATAGAGAGAAAAGAGGAACCTGAATTACCTAACATACCACTGGATCAGATTGAACAGGAGGACGTGCCACACGATGCTATTAAGATGGCTTTCAGTAAACTGCAGGTATGAAACGTATCTAGCGTGACACACTTTATTTCTGTCACGCAACTTTAAGGTGGTCTCGCAAGAATTGAAAGCTAAAGGACGGTTTTCTCTTCTTTTGGAGTGTTTACGTGTCGCTTTAACTTAAGGATTTGTCGTAACATCAGCATCTGCGTTTGGCGTTCAGCGTTCACGGAGTCTGTCATTTACTGTAGGTTTATTATTAATCACCTTCCTACCACTGTCATCAGTGCCAGATCCAGACCTTGAGAGAAGCGGGGGGGCCCGATCATCCAGACCCTTAAATAAAGGAGGGGGGGCTGGTCTCCCAAAACGATTTGGGCCTCAGTTTGGTCTAAAAATAAGGGCGGGGGGGGGCACTGGTCATCAATTTATCCTTGTTGGAATTCAATATTAAAACTTATTCTTGATTAATAACAGTTATGATTTTTACGTGGTGAAAGGCACGTTCAAAACCCACGTTGTGGTTGTCGACATCGACGGATTAAGTGGCTATCGGCTGTAGGTTACATAAGTCACATGTTAACACGTATAACCAAAACAACATCAACAACAACAAGGTGGGGGGTGGGGGGGGGGGGACAAAACTGTTGCCAGTGTTTTGTCATTTCGCTTGCTGCAATTGCACTTATTTAGTTTGTTTTGTTACAGGCGCGGTTTATGAAGTTAATGAATGAAAAAGCCGCCTTAATTGAGAGAATTCAAGAACTTGAACATGTTACGGTACAACTTTCTATGGAAACAGAAACTATCGGTGAGTACTAAAGAAGGTTGTTTGCTCGTAAAGTTTGCGCTAAGCAATTGTGGAACCTTTTACTTACTCACAAGCGACTTTAACTTGTGTTTGCGCTTATTTTTCGTATCCCGGTTTACACTTATAACCCATCCACGGCTAATCAGAAAACTTAGAAAATTTTGCTATCCTCTACAATTCTAATGTTGTGTTTTCATGTCCTTTACCCAACTACGTATAGCATGGTTTACTAGATTTCTTTCTTTATTTTACCCAGGAGAGTATATCACTCTCTATCAAACCCAAAGGAATGCTCTGAAGTCTTATTATAAAGACAGAGAAAGAATGATCGCACAACTGTCCAGCGAGAAAGCTAACATGCAGGTAAGGAGATTACTCGGATCTCTCATCGAATCTCAGTTTGCTGTATACTACTTACGGTGCGATTATTTTGGATAATTGGTGGATAATTTTGTGCTACTGTGATTGGTTCCTTGTCAAAGGAATCTTTCATGTATTTATTATTATTATTATTATTATTATTATTATTATTGTCATTATCATTTTTCTTATTATTATTATTTATCATTATTTTTTCTAATGCCTAACCTTAGTGAAGGTGAATATTAGCGACCTTCTGTTTTCTCTAAGACCACTAGTCACTACGATCAAGTGCTATCAGTGATAAGTAGTACTGGTATTGAACGCCCAAACTGACTGGCTGTCTTTTGCGCCAGAAAGTATGCAACTCGTGCCATGCATTGTAAACCTTTCTACCATGAACTCGTACAAGAAATTATGCAGCCTTAAGCTTTCATGGTATTGCAAAAAAGATGAGAATCCCACATGGTCTACTCTGCGAATTTAGCCATATC